TAGAATACACTTGCTGTCTATAGTGTTAAACACATTGTCTCTATATATCCTACTAGACAATAATTCACGAACTTATCGCATATTCAATTTGTAAACTTGTTCTTGATGTAACCCAAAGCTGAAAGACTTTTCAACACTTGTCGTACAACCATAAAATCAATACAAATTAAGGGTAGGTTGAAATTAGTTTAATTGCTAGATTTTGAAAATAAGTAGACATAGGAAATGACATTTTACTATGATAGTGTTCAAAATTGAACAACAAATGAGTTGTAGTTTAATGGAAATAATATAGTGCTCTAGGTTTGAATTACCCAACCTACCACTTATATTCACATACACAAATTTAAAAAACGATAGTAGAATAATCATTTTTTCAAATTTCAGGGTGTCCCTCACTATCAATTGTAATTTTTTTATCCATACGTAAATTACCACCGTGGGTTGAATAATCGTTTTCACAAAATTTAGGGGTGTCCCGGGACACCCCTAAAGCCCCGTGCGTCCGCCCCTAGCGAGGAGGCTCCACCCGGGCCGGTGTTTTGCGGACCGGGCTTGCTGCCAGTCCCGACGGCCGAGAGATCTACGATCCTCGCGGGAAAAAGAAGAAGGTTGGGTTCGATGGAGAGTCGTGGCCAACTGAGCCGCGGAGGGGCGGGACAGGGACGCTAGGCAGACCAAGCTTCCATGGATCAGGCTTGGAAAAGAAAGCGATGAATTGAGCTTCACGGACCAGGAAGGCTGGTGGGTGGACCTAGGGCCTAAGGGAGCTGGACGGGTATGGGTCGCCGACCCAAAGTCGGATCGAACCGAGCGGTCAATCGGATCGATGAAAGGTCGGACCAAAATCGGTCAAATCGGAATCGATCAGACCGATCCTAACCAAACCGAACTGGATCGACCATTGTGGGGCAGCAGCTGCGGCGCGACTAGAGGAGGCGCTGGGAACTGCCAGCAAGGACCCGAGACGGGGTACCCCCGTGGGTAGGAATGAAAATGGGGCAGGTCCGGGGCGGGTTTCTTGGTACCCAGACCAGCCCCGTGGCAGATCGGGTCCATGTCGGGTAATTTATCAAGGGTCATAGGTCGGGGCAGGTCAACCCAATGGGTATGCAATTTATATGAAAAACATTAGAAATATTTGTTATTGTTATTATAAGACCAAGAAAACAAACAATATTATGATAAATATAGTTAAATTATTAGAGAAATTGAGGTTTTCACTAATTTACAACTTTATTATAGCTAAATTATGATGTAATAAAAGAAAAATCCTAAGTAAATTGACTAAGATTACATGTAATTTAGGCAAGAATGGGTCTAGAATGGGGCAGGTCAGGGCAAGTCGGGTCGATGAGAGTACCCATGCCCGCCTCGCTTACGGAACGGGTTAGGTCGAAATTGGCATCCCTACCCGTGGGGAACACCTCGAGCAGACGGGGGACGAGGCCGCCAAGGTCTGGAAGTAGGGCAAGGGTCTGGGACCGAACCGGGACTTGACGAAGACTATAGCGGGAGATGGCCGACTGGGCCTACTCCCACCAGGGGGTTGCGGAGCCCAACTACCATCACCACGAACCCGGACGTTAACCACCACACTCGGGCACCGACAAGTATGGGTATAGTAACCCTTTGTATGACTATGATGATGAGTTGGTGGTTAGGGCTAAACCCCCAGTTATTGAGTTCCCTAAATTCGATGGTAATGGTGATGTGGGACTGTGGTTATATGCGGAGGAGAGGTGGTTCAAGAACCACCCGATCAGAGAGGAGAGGAAGGCGCATCTGGCGTCCTTCTATTTGGAGGGAGATGCCCTCCAGTGGTGGGAATGGATTGAGAGAGCTTATGCAGCAGCAGGTGAGAGTATCTCATGGGTCAGGTTTCAGGATGAGTTGCGGTACAAGCTCGGTAGAGCCGAGGGATGGGCGCCAGAGCAGCTGGCCAAGTTGAAGCAGACGGGGTCGGTAGCAGAGTATCGAGCCGAGTTCTTGAAGCTAGGGAACCAGTGCAAGGAGATGACCGAGGAGACGATGGTGGGGAGTTGTATGGCAGGACTGCGATCGGAATTAGCTGCAGCGGTTAAAGTCTTTGAACCTGACTCTCTTTGAGTTGCTTTCAGGCTTGCAGGCCGCAAGGAGGAAGAGCTCGCCAACTGGAGATCTTCGGTGGGAAGAATCTAGAAAGCGAGTGGAGGAGATGGGGTCGGCGCAGGCCAGAGGACCGTCGCGTCCTCGCAACCGACAGGAGGTGCAAACTCGGCGCCCGCCGGGGCTACTCCAGGTGGCCGATTTCCAGCTAGGTTACCGCCAAAAGGGTTCATCAGGCTGACCCAGGCGGAGATGGACCAGAAGCGCAGAGACGGGCGTTGTTTCAACTGTGATGAGAGGTATACAGTGGGGCACCAGTGCGCCAAGGGGAACCTGATGCTGCTGGTCGGAAATTTGGAAGACGAAGGTGAGGAAATGGAGGCAAATGAAGCCGGGGTGCAGAAGGAAGAGAAGAAAGAAGGCCCACCTTGAGGGCAAGGTGGGTTTCAAGGGGGATGGAATGTCAGAAACTAGTTCTTCGGGGTCTATTTGTCGTTATTCATTATTCAGGATATTTTGATGTATGTTGGATATTTCGGGAACTATTGGGGGTTATTCGGTTAGGTTAATTATTCGGGTAGTTAGATGCAATTAGTCGGATTATATAATCTGTATTAGGAGAAGGTTAGAGGTCAAGCAATAACACAAGAATTATTCTCTAAGCTACTTCTCTCTCTCACCCTAGTCGAACCCTCCTCCCTAACCCCCTCGTCGTTGACCTCCCTTCTTCCGGGAACCGACTCCTACTTCTTCCTCACCTAAACTCCTATTCTCTCACACCTAATTCCCTAATTCTCCTACCGATCGTAAACCCTAAATCGCACACCTCGATCTGTGTTCTTTCATCCTAGAGGCAAGAAAAGGGCAAATGCTGCGTGGCTTTTATAACCTTTCCCAAGCAGGAAGGTGGTCTGGGTATTAGAGACCTAGTTAGCTGGAATTTCTCTTGTGTGTTACGACATATATGGTTAATTTTGTTGCAGCAGGGATCTTTGTGGGTGGCTTGGTTATGGGAGTATCATTTAAGAACCAGGATTTTTGGACTTTTACATCTAAATCTGGTTCTTGGATCTGGCAAAAGCTGCTTAAAAGTAGGGAGAAAATCCAACAGAAAATGTTTGCAGAAGTCGCCTGTTTGCATAATGTCATGTTGCTAAATGTATGTTTGTAGGGTTACTTGCTCCTATTTTTTTATCGATCTTCATCTGATTCTTGGGAGGAGGAGCTGTAGTGGGCGACTATTAACCTTAAGGGTAAGACAATAAGGAAACAAATTGCTCAGATAATCTGGAGAGCTATGATCAGCACTATATGGAGAGAGAGAGAGATGTCTGTTGCGACATGGAGGTACTAAGAAGAGCATCTCAACTATGATTGAGCAGACGAAGAATGATGTTCAAATATTTTTTGGTGACTCTGTTACTGAGTTCTTCGGCCTTGGAAATGAATAGAATGAGTTTGTTTAGGATATATTGTGGTAACTAGTACACAGGGGATACAGTTTTACATAGAGTTCTTTAAAAATGTAAAGTTGTTTGTGGTTACACATTGGCAGGGTTGTTGCCAACAGTACTTGTGGTTTTTTTATGATATAAAATTAACTAATTCATAAAAAATAAATAATCTCTTGAAAGCATACATCATCTGTCATTATCATGAGGCAGTCTTCCTTCAGTTTTTTTGTGCTAAATAAGAATCTCTTGTATTCAATGCTTGATACAGGTGAGCATCTATCCATCTGGGAAAGCCCTGGTGGAGTTCTCTACTCTTCTGATGAGTTTATCTTCCTTCCACTGAAATCCGAGTTCAATGATTATACAAAAAGTTTTGTAGAGCCATATCCATTACTAGAGCTCAAGTTGTGTTCTGAGAAGGAAAAAGAAAAAAACAAACTTTGGTTTGTTTCATGCCCTTAAATGCCAACTGGGCATGAAAACAAAAGACATCGACTAATCGTCTCTGCTATATCGTTACAGGTTACTTGTGGTGATTACATTCTGTGGAACACGTTGGGGAAGTCATCTTTGAAATGTGATTATCTTCTGAAAGAACAAGTGGGAGGTTTTTCTTTACTCGAACCTTGCTTCCTCATCCTGTGGTGGAGCGATCGCTTTGTCCTCCTAACGTCTCAGGTTATCCTCATACACCTAGATAGTAGGTTACCCTGTTGTGTACATAGGCTTCATTCATATGGTTTTGAGACGACAATTTGGTTGAGATTCCTGCCTGAGTTTTGCAGTTCCAGATTCCGGCGAATTGACCGTTCTCAGTTAACAATTTTCTTTCTTTTTGTGGTTTTGAAGGGAGGGAAAGGATGCAAACAATTTTCTTTTTTGCCTGGGCTTCAATCGTTTTTACAAATTCAACCTAATCAAACAAAGCGGAAAGAATGAAAAAAAGGTGTGAAATATACAAATTGAATGAAAGGAAAAAAAAACTAAACAGAAACAGAAATAGGAAGAACAAGAAGAAGAAGAAAAAAACAACGTTATGGATGTTCAAATCTTTATACTAACAATCGTACCATACTATTTATGTTCTGAAAGCCAACTAATTCAAATCAATTTCATCATTGGATGAAGCTTTTCATATATGGAAGAAGAGAAAGAACATCAAAATGTACATACAAAACCCTCAAGAGAGGTAAAGACTACTCGAAGAAAATTCCCGAATAAAAATTAGGGTTTCTATAGATCCTTTTTCTCCCGGTATTTAGTATAACATATAGATAATACTATAAACACCCCCACTCGTTTTTCATCATCAAATTATAAGATTAAAGTCAGAATAATAAGAACCTAATTCCCAATTTACGCAAGAGATTTTCCCCAAGAGTACTCCTCACCTTTTCAACAATGTATGTATGTAGCTCCCTCTCATCTCCAACCCAATGTTGAAACTTGAAACCGAATTCACTCTTCCAAAGCATGCTTGGAGGAGCGGTAGAGATCATAAGGAGCCCACAGATAATCCACAATACACGGCTTCCTCGAATCGAGCCTTAGCCACGGCTTCCCTTTCCCACTCCAATGCAGAAGGCTGATCGGCCCCGGGTGCAGATTCCTGCATTTTCCTTCAAAGTTATCCCCGCCGAGCCCATGCTGGTTCCACCGGTGATCCACGGCCTTGATGTTCCCGGCCAGGACCAGCAAGAATGGCGGTAGGGAGCCCAGATGGTATATCCTCTCTCGCTTCTGAACTGCCATCCACTCCTCGACCTTCCTCGTGTACCCTCCTTCCCGCCACTTCTCCACATCCATCACCATCACACCCGTGTTGAAGTAACATGGCCTCCGCCCCTCGAAGGTCCCAGCCAGCTTCCGGTCGGACCAAAACCGGTCGGTGAAGTACGGGGTGAAGTTGGCGTGGCAGTACTCGGGCGCCGCGACGACCTTACCTTCCATGTCACGTTCCAGAGCTTGTCGATGTCGTCGACCACGATGATGTCGGAGTCGAAGTAGATGACCCGGCCGACCTCGGAGGGGAGGATGTCGGCCAGGTAGATCCTGGCGTAGTTCAGGGGCTGGTCGAGGGCCTGTCGGATGGACCGAGAGATCTTGCCCCTGACCCAGTTCGGGTTGAAGTTGTAGATCCTGAAGGTCAGGTAAGGGAAGGTCTGGTTGATGCTGGCCGAGAGCTCGGGCTCGGAGTGGGCGGAGAGGAAGTGGAAGGAGAGGTTCTCAGGGCAGGTCGAGTGCTGGAGCATTGACAGGACGGCTGCCATTGTTCCCCTTAGGTAGTTGATGTCGAGGGTCATCGCCACGTGGATCGATGCAGTGGGCCCGCACTGGTCCCCGTTTCGGAAGGACGGGGCCTCCCGAAATTCGGGGAGGTTAGGAGGGGATGAGGAGGGTGAGGGTGTGCTTATGACCGCGGCGACGCGAACGGCGGACGAAGAGGAGGGGAGGAAGAGGATGAGGAGAGACAGGAGGCCAAGAAGGAGGAGTTTGGATAGAGAGGAAGATCTCCCGATCATGGCCATCCTGCCTGCAAAGGTTTACAGGAGTTTCTAGAGAAGTGCTAGAAGATATTTAAGGCGAAATGTCATAATTTTTTTCTTAATTTGTTTGGTTTAGGTGGTTAAAAGTAGTTGGAAAATGAATGTTTGAGAGGAAGAAAATGAGTTGAAATTTTTTGAAGAAAAGGAGAGAAAAAAAAAATGTTTTTTTTGGGCCTTTGAGATATTTTTTAAAAGCCGTAAAATTGTGAGGAAGTGAAAGAAGGTAGGGATGATTTAGGGGTTAGTAAATACAAGGGGTTGAGGAGAGCTCTGTTTTAGATTTTGTTTTCCAAGCCACTGGATTCAGGGAATTGAGCAAAGATAAGGTGCCTAATTTAAGCTTAATTACGATTTTCCTAAATTTTTTGAGAATTAAATATCAGGTTACCAACTTAATTACGTGAAGTGAACGGGTAGGGTTTTGCATACAGGGCAAGATTGTTGCAACGGTAAAAGATAAGATATTTACCTCCTTTCATTTTTATCATCAGTTTCTCTTAGGGTTCTATTTTTGGTTTTGCTTGCTATGGAAGAAATCTTTTGAGTCCATTAGGGTATGCTGCGTGAATCCAGTTGGTAGGTCAAGGGAGCACCACTCTTGGTCACAACTAATCTTCTTCGAACGTGCAAAACTGATGACACTCAACTTATAGTAGTCTTCTCTTTTATAATTAATTAAATTTTGCTTATTTTTACGGCAATATTATTGATTATTCCAATATTTTATTTCTCTCTATTTGGGTTATTGCTTGTTTGATTGCCTCTAGGACTATTTTAGCACACTTGATATCATTTGGGGTTTCTTTTGATGAGTCTCGTGTCATGATGATGTAGAGGGCGAAAATACAAGTGTATGATTCCAACGGGAATGGATTCGGAGGTCAGGTAAATGAGTTATGACCCGAGATTGTGCATTGCTTCTCAAGTGGTGCCCAAAACTAACGTATTCGTCAGAACTAGCACCCGAAATCTGCTCCTTTAGCTTAAGGTGAGTCCGATGTAAAAAAAAAATATATACATTAATTTTTTTTATTTTTCTACAATACTACTTGTTTTCATATTCTAAATCGTTTTTAAATCGATTTATCATTCAAAATGTAAAGAGGCATAACCGCAATATTCCCATTAAAAGGTCATTCATAGCTTCATTACTCATTTTATATTGAACGATGTTCCACATACTTCATTGTGAAAATTATTTTGGGTAATGTCTATTTTTTATCCAAACCATTTTCAGATTCTTTTATATTATCCAAACCTATAAAAATGCTTTTAATTAGCCAAATTTTTTGTAATGCATCAAAATATTAGTCATTTTTATGTTATCGTTAATACTTTTGTAACTCTTTACTAGTTGAAATGCTAAAATTTTGGAATATTGACATTCATCTGTCTCTTCCAAGTCAGTATCATGTTGTCAAGTCAATATTACTAACAAAACTATTAACTGAAAGTTAACATTTGGCTAATTTTTAGTATTTCGATAGGTTTGACTAATAAAAAAAAATCTGAAAAAATTAGAATAAAAAATAGACATTATCCAATTATTTTTGCAAAACTTCTATTGATTGATAATAACAATACTTATTTTACAAGTCGAGAAAAAGATAATGTATGTACCATATTGGTGGAGCCCTAGGTAATTGGAGCGAGCTGCAGCCACAAAAAGGAATCCATCCAATCCACGAGTGAAGTTCATGCTATCAACGTTTGTAGTGTAAAATTCTCTGTTTATGTGTCCTATAGAAAACCTAGCCTTAGTTGATTACAGTTAAATGGGCTACGTATGTATTTCGGCCACTGTTAAGAACCCCAGTAATTCGGGATACTACGTAAAATTGAATCTCTCTCATTTTTTCGATTATTTTAAATTAAACTTTACATGGTATTAAAGCTATAAGATCGCCATATCTTTAACTCAATCATGAGTTCTGGTGATGTTCAATACCCTCATCTCTCTGATTGACTAGATCAAATGCTTGTTGGCAGTGGCGGACCCAGAAATTTTACATAGGGGTGTCCTCTTTCAAAAAATAAAGTAAAATAAAAATAATAATTAAATAAGAAAATACCCAACTCGTACAAGTGAAAAAAAGTCTATGATGTATTTTCATATTCTGAAAAAAATTGTAATATACACTTGGTGTCTACACTGCTCATTCACGAACTGGCACATATTCGACCTCTAAATTTGTTCTTGAAGTAACTCAAAAGTGGAAAGACACTTTCAGCACTTGTCGTACAACTATAAAATCAATATAAATTAAGAGTAGCTTGTAATTAGATGAATTGTTAGGTTTTGAAAGTAATTAAAGATAAAGAATAGGATTTTGATATTACAAAGTGTTTAGAATAGAACAACAAAAAAGTTGTAGCCTAATGAAAATTATATTTATTAATAATAGTAGTGTACTGGTTTTGAATTATCCAAACTACCACTTATATTCTCATACGCAAACTACAAACGAGAGTAGGATAATCGTTTTTTCAAATTTCAAGGTGTCCCGGACTATTAATTATATTTTTTTTGTCCATACGTAAATTACCACCGGAGGTTGGTTAATCGTTTTTCCAAAATTTAGGGGTGTCCCCCTCCTGGGTCCGCCCCTAAACCCTCCTGGGTCCGCCCCTGCTTGTTGGTGATGTCTTGACTTCCTCCAATTATGAAGAGTGGATTCTGGATACAAAGGAAACATTTGTAGCTAAAAGGGCTATAGGTATACTAATATGTCCATTTGCTATACATTTTTATCAAATATGTTTATTTATCACTTTGTCCATAAAAATGGAGTAAATACAATTTATTAGTTCAACCTTTCGAAATATATAAAGTATTAGTCAAACATTAGCTTCATGTTAGCAGTTTTGTTGTAATGTTGGCTTGACAATATGATGATAACTTGGAAGAGACACGTGATAATTAACATTCTAAAATTTTAGTATTTAGTTAAGAAAAGAGTGGCAAAAGATTTGACTAATACTTTATATTTCAAAAGATTTGGCTACCAATTTAAAATGTGAAAATTTTGGATAATTTATCTCGAAGTGAACAGATGATCCCGCCGTTAATTTAACTGGCATAATTTCTATTGAAGCTTAATAATTTTTAGATTTAGGTTGCGAATAACACATGACAATTGTTTTTAGGGAAGACAATGATAGGACTTTGTTATCAAGTAAGGTGTAGAGTAAGAATGGACAGCTAGACTTGTTTTTGGAAACGTGTTAGAATATAAAAAGATGAAAAAACATCTCAACGTATCATTTGGTCAACCTTAACAAAGAACCACAAATATCATGTAGCTTTCATCAAAGTTTTGGTCCACTCAATTGTCCATTACACCATTAATCAAATCGTCCCCACCTAACCACACTTCATCCATACAACAACAAAAAAATCCCATCTAATCGATTCTCGTACTGATATTTGTATACAAATAATCATTATTTGTAAACTTTTTTTCGAAACCACAAATTCAACGATGATTATTTATTGTAGCATCGAACTGGTATCTTTAATATTTCCCCGATTACCACCCAAACAAAAACACTGGAAAAAAAAATGTTGCCAACTCTGCCGCTCCTCCTCTTCCTACTACTACTACTCCCAGTCCCACTTTCACCGGCCTCGCCGCCGGCGGTCCAAACTTGCCAAGATTTCATCCACTGCCTCATCTCCGGCGGCGGCGGCTTTCCGAGCAATCTCATATACGCCCCATCCAACCCAAACTACTCCACAATCCTCGAATCCACAATCCGTGACGCCAGATTCAACTCCACATCCACCCCCAAACCTTCATTAATCCTCACCCCAATTTCCACCTCCCAAATCCAAGCCGCCGTCCTCTGTTCCCGCCGCCACGACTTCCACATCCGAATCCGAAGCGGCGGCCACGACTACGAGGGCCTCTCCTACTCCTACTCTTCCCATCAACAAACTCCCTTTCCCCCATTCGCCGTCCTCGACCTCGCCTCTTTCCGAAACGTCACCGTAAATCGGGCCGAGAAGACGGCGTGGGTCCAATCCGGCGCCGTTTTGGGGGAGCTCTACTACCGAATTGCGAAAAGGAGTCCCCACCTCGCGTTCCCTGCCGGGGTCACCAACACCGTCGGCGTCGGCGGCCACTTCAGCGGCGGCGGGTTCGGGTTCCTTGTCAGGAAATTCGGCCTCGCTGCGGATAACGTAATCGACTGCAGAGGTAGAATTCTTGATCGAGCTTCCATGGGTCAAGATTTCTTCTGGGCCATACGCGGTGGCGGGGGAAACACCTTCGGAATCGCCGTCGCCTGGAAAATTCGACTCGTCACCGTTCCATCCACCGTCACAGTGTTCAGCGTCGTGAGAACGATCGAACAGAATGGTCTGGATATCGCCAACAAATGGCAATCCGTCTCCAGCAAGCTCCCCAAGGAATTATCCCTCGACCTCTTGCTGACAACCACAAACAGAACAAAAAACAGAGCAACAATTAAAATAGCAATCTTCAGCGCTCTGTTTCTGGGGAAAACCGATAAGCTCCTAAACCTGATGCAGAGCAAATTTCCCGAGCTGGGTCTCACCGGAGAAGACTGCAAGGAAATGACCTGGCTCGAATCGGTCGTGTTCCACGGCGGATTCCCCAGCAACGCCACCGTAGAGGCGCTGCTCGACCGGAGCAAAAACTCGCCTCTGGTTTGGACCCTGAAGTACAAATGCAAATCGGACTTCGTTCGAGGCGACCCGATTCCTGAATCCGCTCTGTTGAAAATGTGGGAGAAGCTGATGGAGATCGAGCCGGAGTTCGGGGGTATTCTGATGTTTCCATGGGGAGGGGAAATGGAGGAGATTTCGGAATTCAGGATTCCGTTTCCACACAGGGGCGGGAACTTGTATATGATCCAGCACATGGCGTATTGGAGCGATGAAGGGGAGAGGCATGTGGGTTGGTTGAGGGAGTTGTATGATTTGGCGGGGGATTATGTTTCGAGGGAGCCCAGGTCTGCTTATGTGAATTACAGAGATCTGGATATTGGGATGAATGGAGAAGAAGAAGAAGGGGAAGGGGGAGAGTGGAGGAGGTACGAGAGGGCTAGGGTTTGGGGGGAGAAGTATTTCGGGAAGAATTTTGAGAGGTTGGTGAGGGTGAAGACGGCTGTGGATCCTGAGAATTTGTTCAGGAATGAACAGAGTGTTCCTCCATTGCCGAGAGGGATTCGGAGTCAGAGGATTGCTGCTGGTTCTCAATTTGATCGATGCACATTGTGAATAAATGGTTGATTTGGGTTTGTTTTCTGGGTAATAAAGTGGCATGCCAAATGTTTTGATAGTGATTTACAAGGAGTGAAGTCCATTGAACGCCAAGTAAAGTCTGATCAAATGATCTCATGGATATACGAAGTAGTTAAGGAGGGACTAAAATAGTTTGAATATGAGGGTCAAAATTTCTCTAGAAAAAAAAATGTATTGTTCTTTCTGCAACATAGATCTAACCAATCAGCTAAACACTGACTGCTCTACAGTGAGCTACTGAGGAACAACAACAACGGTAGGTTAGATTTCATATTGTTCAATTTGTGTTCCCAACCCATTTACTAAGTATTCACTATATGATACTTCGCCACTACCTATTTTTGAAATATGCTTATATGCTTTTTTTTGTTAAGTTCTTCGTCGACCAAGCTTAACGATGTTTTACGTGGATTAAAATTGTTGAATTCAATTCGAGTTTAATCTTCTCCCCTAAAATATTGATAAAATTGAAATGATGTAGAAAAAATATTACAAATCCCAATTGATAGATAATGACATAAAAAGAAAATAATAAAAGTTAATGTAGTTATTTTGGTCATTTCACCTGGTGACTTCTCCCTCCAAAACCCTATCTTATGAGATGAGATTTTATAATCCCAGCGATCCACATATTTTGGCAAAAATAAATCCACATGTTTGATCCATTACGCAAATCTAATATCACCGTGAAATATGAATCGGGTCAGATCCAGTGCTTAAGCCTAAAAAATTAAGCATATGCTTAAGCCAAGGGAATGGATTAGGTGAGTAACCTTATGGTGAGTAACTATGAGTAACCCGCCCACATCAGCATGACATCAGCATCCTCTCTCTCTTGAAAAGCCTTTAATTTTCCCCTCCTTAATCTTTGACGGACGATTTCTCACTCGTTTTAAGTCGAAACTTAATTTTTTTTGCACAGTTAGATCAGATCAATTGTGCTCTTCAAAATGATATCCACTTTGATATATTTTTCGAACAAAAAAAATCGAGCCATTTTATACCAGTCTATACCATATGGTATTGACTGGTATTGAAATAAGAGCATACATATGGTTTGAAAAGCGTACCATGGTGGTATGACACAAACCAAAACTGTAGGATGGTTGAATACATGATAGTAGAAGTATATTAATTGTCATTTACGACTTTTAACATTGTATACCATAAGATACCATAAGATACCACCCCGTACCAGGGTGGTATTGTATGGTATTGTGTGGTATTTTTTTGTCTTGTAATTTGTTCACCCAGAAATTTGTAGATCAAATAGATCATGATGAACTCGTCCCTGCTTTACAAACGTTTTCAAAAACGAATTAAAAACGAAGAAGATACCATATGGTATGTAGTTGGTATCGAGAGGCCAGAATTTTTTTTCCCTAAAAAAATATTTAAAATTGATCTCATTTTGTAGAGCACGATGGAATCGAAAAAAAAACTAAAATCCGATGAAACCATTTAGTGTTTCTACCTCTCGTAGTCGTAGCTCATCCTCCCGGCACGGGCCTCCATCATCCCGCCGCCATCTGCCCAGCGGCGACAACGCTCAGTCCTCCTATTGGCGATCGCGCCAACAGCGACAAGTCCTCCCATTGGCAAAGGCCGCAGCGTCTCCTACGCCATTCTTCTGCCGGCAACACGTCCAACATCTCGTCACCATTCCGCCGCCAGCACGTCGATAGCATTTGTACACGGACACTATGCTATATCGTCTTCCTCAATGGGATACCGGACGCGCATCCGTTGTTTATGCTATATATGAATACCGTGTTCGTGTATTTTGTTGCTAACGTTTATGTTTTTTTTTTTTTTTGTTGGTTGTTGAAAATTGACGAGTTTTCATTAATAATGATTTTCATAAATAACCCTATAGCGATACAGGAACATTAATAATAAATTTATTATTGTTAATGATACCTTCTTGAAACATTTGATACGAGAACAAAAGATTGTTAACAATGGGCTAAGAATCGTTAATATTTGAATTGCGGGTAACTGTTAAAGTTATATGATTTGTGATAGAAAAAAAAGAACGAGATATCGTTAACAATATTTTTGTAAGTAGCAAAAAATTATGTTTTTTTTTTATAAGGAAGTAGCAAAAAGTTATTAACATAACGTTAATAATGATTTTTCATATCATTGATGATACATTGCATAAATATTGATAACGTTACATTAGATTGTCAACAATGTGCTTAAAATATCAATAATTAGATTTCTCGTAATTGTTAAAGTTAATTACAATTCATTACAACAGTGTTGATAACATTACATTAGATTGTTAACAATGAGTTTAAAATCGTTAACAACGTAACAACAAACCATTGATAGCGAAATTGGAATTCGTTGACAATAAAGCCACAATCATTAACAATGAATCAATTTATTGTTGAAGAGCTGCAAAAAACCCGTTAATAACGTAACAACAAACCATTGAGAACGAAATTGAAATTTGCTGATAGTCAAGCCACAATCATTATTAATGAAATGATTCAATATTAAGTGTTAAGATACCACTAACAATGTTAAAGACACTGAGGTTTCTCATTCAAAACATAAAAATGTTCACAATATTTTGCTTAGATTTTTTTTAATAACACCAAACTGTTAGTAATGCTATTGTAAATCCTTAATATCTTCTTCGGATTACGTTGACGGTGTAAGAGTAATTGTTACTGATAGCCAATTCGTCATTAATTGTTGACAAACACAAAACGTTGATAACAATGTATGTTTAACACAAAATGTTAACCAATTCGCCACTAATTGTTGACAAACACAACTCGACGACGACAAGCAACCTCGGTGGCAAGCAGACTCGACGGCCACCAGAAGGTAAAACGGCGACGACAACAAGAAGCTCCCTCTTCGTTAAGCGACGGCCAACTCCTCGACGATGACCAACTCCCTCTTTGTTAAGCGACGACGACGAACACCCGGCTGTCCTTCCTTGACGATGACAAGCTTCCTATTCGAAACCAAGAACCTTCCTCGCCGACCGGAAAACGAGAAGGCAGAAGGAGAGCCGGCATCCGCAGCGAAGAGAAAAGGCAAAAGGAGAGCCGACGAGTCGAAGGAGAGTAGGCACATTGAAGACGACCCTCGAAAAATAAACCTAACCGCATCTTTATTTGATTTAGGGTTGACGTTTCGTTTTCCTTTAATTATGGAATTAGATTAAATTTTAAATAAATAAAATATATAATTTACCTCAATACCCTTAACTAATTACTAACTAATAACTCCTCTTAACTACTTACTTTACAAACAACCAATAGAATTGGTTGTAGCATATACTTAAACTTTTAGGCTTAAGCACATGAATGAACCCAAGCCAACATGAACTTGAGACATAATTCTGCTTTTGAGACAAAATATCACTTCAAATTAAACAACTAAACCATCCCTAAATTCTAGCCCTCAATCTAACGTAATACTACTTGTCACAGGAATGTCGGTATTTGGATATGGGTTTGAATAACATTAACTCGATATGATTAATTTGAAAACTGGGCTGGGCTTGCGGTGTTTAAGAAGTGCGAAAATATCTGTCCGTTTCTGGGCTCGAATTCTCTGGTCCAGCTACATGGATATTCTAACTCCGCCCCAGTCAGGCAGAAGATAGTTTGTGACAGTTAGGGATGACAATTTCGAACTGACCCGTTAACTTAACTTGTTTGATCTATTTTGGAGTAGGGTGGGACATACATGAGTATTCTCATCAATCCGACCTACCCTGATCCGTCCCATTCTCTACCCGTTTTTGCCTAAATAGAATTGTTCTTTTATTACATCATATTTTAGCTATCATAAAGTTGTAAATTAGTTAAAACTTCAATTTCTTCAATAATTTAACTACATTTTTATATTATGATTTGTCTCTTGGTCTTGTAATGCAAATAACAAATATTTCTAATGATTTCCATATAAATTACATACCCATTAGGTCGACCTGCCCCGACCCGCGCCCTATGATAAAATACCTGACCTAAACCCGACCTGCAACGGCGCGGATATGAGTATCGAGATACCCATCCCGAATTTACCCCATTGCCATTACCAGTGACAGTCAGTCAACACGGAATTCAACCAAAAAATGCATCCCTTTCATCCCCAGCTCCAATCCTATTTAATAATCTGAAACATAACTAGGAAGATCATAATTCATTCATTGTGGTCCCATTTCCCATAAGTATAGTAAAGTTGACTCTTTTTTCGCTCGTGGACTAACTAACACACGTTATGTTAGTGAACCACGTAAATTTGTGTGTTCTTTACTTTCTTCGCTATCGTCATCTTTCTTGCATTGTAGATTAACCTCGATTCATTCAGTCAAACAAAACTTATTTGCCTTTGGCCGGGATTTTCAGTTCAATAAAGGTGTGTTTGGAAGGAACGATTTGTATTTGGTATTTGTGATTTGGATTTTTAAATGTCAAATAATGTGTTTGGATATTAATTACATTTAATTTGGGGTATGCCTACAGTGACTTGCAAGTCACCGTAAACTAATTCAAACATCCTCGTGGAAGCCCATTTTCAATTTGGCTCCTTCACCTTCAGATGGGAATCAAACATCCTCGTGGAAGCCCATTTTCAAATCTCACCCATGCCCCGACCGCCATGACCAGTCCATTTCCGGCAAACTCAATCTTACCCACGCTCGCCTCGATGAACTTGTGGAACGCACTGCCTCTTACCTCGCCGCCGCCGACATCGATCCCGGCGACGTGGTCGCGCTCACTTTCCCCAAGACCGTGATTCGATTCAGAGCAACAGTAGCGCCGCCCAACTCTGCCTACACGGTGGAGGAATTCGAGTTCTACCTATAAGACTCGGAATACAAGCGATTGATCACTTTGCGAGAGGGAAACACGGCGGTCGAATCCGCCGCTTTGAAACTCCAAATTCGCCACGCCACCGCCGCTCTCTCCGCAGAAGATTCCGAACTCGCGCTTTCTCTTCCTCCT